CTAGGTTGCGCCTAGGTTGCAGTTTCATCTGGCTAAATCACACTCAGAAAGAGCTACCTCCTTCAGATCAGCTCCTTAACTGCTGATCCGACCTCTTCCCCCCTGCCCTTAGATCCTTTCTGTTTCTAACCTGTGCGAGAACTTGACCTTAAAGTGAGTTAGACCTGTCCTCAGACACTGGCTCCGTCTCTCCTAGCTAGATGACTGGGCCTTAACTACACAAACCTCAGTTGACTCACCTGAAATATGAGTGAATAGCTTTATGAGAGTGCATGTGGGGTCCCGGGCCCAGCTGGCTCCTAGCAGGTGCTGGCTGGGACCAGATGTGTCCTCCTCTGTCATGCAGGCAGGACCCTCTGCAGGTGGAGTGTTCACTCAGTGGCAGCAGGCAGCTTCAGTCTTTAACTGCACACAATTGTTCTCCTCTGTGGCCCTGAGAACAGCGAGGGAGAGAGTGACCTGTGACAGGGAACCTCGAGGCCAGGCTGAGGCGGAATCCAAGGCCAGGGGTTGGACAGTTTCTGATACCTTATTCATACAAGGACAGTGGGTCCTATTACACTATAATTTCACCCTCCCCCCCAAAAAAATCTCAAACACTTCTTATGCTAACCAAACTGAGGTATAGGTAATAATTAACTTGTTCACACACATTATATCACTGGGGAATTTTGAAGTGAATCATCACAATAGTTTAACATTTCAGTGGCATCCATAGGCCAGCTACATTGGTGTCACCTGGTAGTACGTTATAAATGCAGACTCTCAGGCCCCTCCCCACACCTGGAATCCGAGTCTGCACTTCAGCAAGATCCCCAGGTGATTTATATGCACGTGTGAATGTTTTAAAAGAAGGTACAATCATGACTCTCATACAAATATGAAATGAATCTGGGTCAAAGATTTTATTTAACTCATTAATTAATGAGGAAACCTCTAAGATGTTATAATTATGTCAAAGGAAAATGCAGAGTAGATGCATATATAGGTCATCAGGAATTTGAATTGAATTTACAAATAGATAAAAACTTGACAAAAACAAAACAAAACAAAAAACCCCATAGAGCAATAATCAATTGCATTGCATTGGCTTTCATTTGCATTTCTATGGACAAGGATCACTTACCTCTCAATATCAGTTTTCTACAACTTCCAGAGTTGTAAAATATCTCAGATAATGAAAGACTGAGAAAAAACAAAACCCAGAAAGGCACGCTGGACAGGAAACCCAGTAATTTCTTTCTCTCTTTTTTCCCCTTTCATTCTCTCCCCCTCCCTACCCTATTTTAGTCTTTCACAATTTTTCCTAACACACAACAAAGTTTGATAAGCACTGTCCGAGACCACTTCTGTCCTCTGGCAGGCCTGGACCCAGACAGCCTCTTCAGATGATGACTAGTGTTGACTTTGGGGCAAATTCCAGCGCTTTCAGTACTCTGTTTGGGAATGAGGCAGCAGGCCAGAGCAGGCCTCAGGGCAGCGCCGGCCCAAATGGCAGAACAGAAATTCAGAGGTTTGCAGGATCTGAGTTGCCTTCTGCTGCTGGTAGGGTTATTTATGCTTTCTAAAATACTTCATTTGGGGCAGGGAGATAAAAATGTGTGCATTCGTTAGTTTTAATCTCTACCCTAGGCAAGATCAATTTCACCAACTGGAAATTCATCTTCCAAGACAGCAACTACAAGCTACAACCTCCCTTACCTTTATCTCTGATCAATAATAAAGTTTTGTTAATTAGTAGAATGGGTGTTAAAAAGGGGTTTTCACTGATACATCGGTCTTGGAGACATGTGAGTTAGCTAGACATATGGTGGAGACATTTCCAGACCAAAGGAGGTGTGAGAATGCAATCAGCCCAGGAAATTCTCCCTGACTTGGTTCCTGAATGGTCCCGTTTGGCTGCCTCTGACTGGAAGCATAGCAGACCATTACTAATGCCACCTTTGACTTAGATGGAACTTTCATTGGCAATGTTATCAGAATACCTAAAAGGACAAAGACCCAGGCCTTCACTGAGCTCATGGGGCATGTGGGGTGGGGGTGGTGGGGGGAGAGTTGTCCTACTGTCGGGGCTGCGTTGACTGCCAGTATGTGGGACTCGATTCTCTCTGTGCCTCATTATCACTATGCCTGATGTGGAGTCTGTGGGAGAAGATCCAAGCTCTCGCCTTCTCCTTAATGATGGCTATCAGTACTTACCAAAACAAACTACTAGTGGTGTGTAAGCAGAGTGGCTTAAAGGCCTGGAGAGTGGAGCAAATGGTTAGGATCCCCACGTCTGTCAGGTCTTTGCTCTTCTGGGGCAGTTCATCAGGCTGAGAAGCAGATCAGCGTCAGGCAGGTCTGTGGCTGACTCCTGGCTCTGCTCCTTCCTGGCCCTGTCACTGAGCTGCTTGTTTAACCCCTGCTGGGTTCTAAGCATGGGGCTAGGGGCTGTGAACAACCCAGTGGACACTCCAGACATGGGTTCATAGTAGCAGGGAAGAGTCATTAAATAAAACACCACACACAGTGTGTTGTAAGTTTCTATTATGATAGCACCATGGAGGAAAAGTCTATAGTGCAAAGGAGTATATGAGGGAAAGAGCTTTTCTTGTCTAAAGTATCAAAAAGACTACCCAGAGGATGCTTAGACTTCAGAGTGAGTTGGAAGTGGGGGTGGTTAATGAGGCAGAAGAACAGGAGCAAAGGTCCAGAGTTGGAGGTGTTCGACGGCTCTAGATGCAAAGAAGGCTCATGTGAGCAGTAGCTCTTGTTTGTGGGTTGAAGAACTACCTGGGGCACAGGTTAAAGCGTACCTTCCTGAATCTCACCTCCACAAGGGTGGGGACCTTATGGATCTGCTCTTTTAAAAAGCATTCCAGGAAATTTAGAGAATAGTATTGCTTAGGGATACACTTGGAGAAATATTGTGTTAGAGCTTCGTGCGAATGGCAGAAGATAAAGATAAGTCATTTATATTCTCTAAGCAGCAATTAGCTAAAGAGATGTAGGATGGCAAGAGGATTAAAAAAGAGAAGCCACATCCAGTGCCTAGCACAGAGCCTGGTGTGCAGCAGGTGCTCAGCAAATCACTGTAGGTCCATTACTGCCCTTCTCGTGTGCAGCCCATTGAGCCCTGTCTGTGGGGGAGTAAACACAAGGCTAGGAGTCAGATGATTCATGTTCTAGCCTCAGCTAGGCACTGACTTGGCACTCTACCTTGGGCAAGACCCTCTCTCTTTGTGAGCCAGTGGACTACAGTTTCTCACCTGCAAAAGGAGTGTGATTAGGCGACTCTTACTCCTTACCCAGTCAGCAGCTCAGCCACCATCTACCATTGTGAATTTCTTACATCCTGGAGCCTCTCAACAAACTCAGTGGTCCCTGACCTGGCTGCTCAGCAGAACCACCAAGGAGGCTTTGAAAATACCAATTAAATCAGAATCTCTTGGGGCGGGGTGTGGGGGGGTGCTAAGAGGAGTGGGAGTCCCAGGCTTGGTAACTTTTCAGCTCACCAGGCAAATCTAATGAAAATCAGCCATCTAATTCCTCGAATCCTCCCTTTTGTCCAGAAGAGTCAAAGGGGTCTCAGAGGAAATACCTGGTCCCCTTTTCTGGTCTAAAACCTCAGCGAGCAACCAAACCAGTAAGAGTCATAAGCATAATCCAGGGATCCCATTCCAAACTCAGTTTATTAAAATAATTTTTGATATCAATTTTTAAGAATCATGTCACAGTATAAATGCATATTGTTTAAACAAAATCAAATAATACAAAATGGCTTCTCACTCTCCCCAAAGCCACCATCTTTAGTTTAATCAATTTCGTTGACATATAATTTACATACCATAAAATGCACACATTTAAACTGCACAGTTGGGTGAGTTTTGACATATGTATAATATTTTGCCTCTCCCTACACCCCAACTCCATGAGACATCACTTTAAACAGTTTTAGTTGTACTTTCCCTGGTGTTTTCTCCATGCCATGTGTTTATGCTGATACTTTTTGATTTATCAACTTTAGATAAGGTGGCATATCATTAATCCTCCAACCAGGTGATTGTTGAAAGTGAAAAGGAACAGAGCTAATTGTTACACAGGACAACAGATGTAAAAGGGAAATGCCCTGGGAAATTCAGAGTATCTGGTCAAGCTAACAGTCTCTATTTATGCCTAGCCTTGATGGATTGAGGACCCATCCATACACCCCATTCCTAGCTCTCTTCCTCTTCCCAAGCATTGCTATTTCTGTACCTAGTTTAGAATCTCTGTTGCTTAACTTTATAAATTGAGGTAATATTTGCAAACCCCTGTTGCTGGGGCTATTCGGCAAGATAAGGCTATTAGTGTCTTTCCCTGTATATTTGTGTCCTTTTCTACCTCCCAATTTTTTATCTCTTTTACTTTGTGTTTATCTTGTCAAGGTTGATAGCGTTTGCATGAATTTGTAGTCATAATTAAGTCTTTCCTATTTTGTCTATAAAAATTCCAAAGCTCAGTGTTTACACTATGTCGATGATGCAACTCTGTTCCCTGTGAGCCAAGTGTGTATTAAGAAAACAATCATAGTTCCTCCTCTATGGTTACACTATTATTATTCCTGGGTCTCACACAAGCAAACACTTCTAACACCAACATTCAATGAATTTTCCTTTCTTACTCTCTGCTACTCTTAAGTCTGCCACATCATGGCAAAATCTAGTTTGTTTCATATTGGAGCCACGAATTTCTTGTTGAAGTTTTTTTTTTCTTCTTTCTGCCTACCTCTCTCTTAGTGTCCCCTATTGTTTGGTTTGTTTAGTATGAGAAACACATCCCTAAAGTGTTCCAGCCTCCTTTTAGCTATTGCTTGGAATCTATTTCTTTCTTCTTTCCAATTTTATTCTACCTGGGTCCCTGATCCTCTGCTCTTATTGGTTCTGAGCATTTCCTGGACCAGCTGACACTAGTCATCCTGGAATTTCTTTCCATTAGATCCCTGGATTAATTCTACCAGGTTTTTTTTTGTTTTTTGGTTTTTTTTAATGTATAGTTTCCGTTTTATTTTTTCCCCCAGAGAATATTTCTTCGGTCTTAAGGACTTGGCTCCTTACATGGGCTTTGGTGGAGGTCGTGGGGCAGCACCCGCAGGTCTAAATCGGGGTGGGGGTGTTCAGTCCTTCCGGGCTTCACGCGAACGATTCCTGACTACCTTGCTGTGAATGGCACAACTCACACAGTAATGTAGTTTCACATACAGCTTGGGAAGCACATAGGCGTCGAAAACACTCGCTTCGGAAATGTCCCTAACGGCTGCGGCCTCTACTATGTTTCGAATGACGAACTTCTTAATGGCCTTGTCCTTGGGCACGCATCGGGCGCAGTTGGTGCAACGAATGGGTTGCACATGGCCGCGGCCCTTTTTGGCACGACCATTATTTCTTCTCTTCTTGTTCATCTCTGCAGCGAGGATCGAAAGAGCTAATTCTACCAGTTTTTAATCCCATAATTTTATCTATCAGAGTTTCCGAGTTGCTTTGCTGGAATACATATTCAAGTAAATTCTCAGAAAGGCAGCATGAGAGGTAATTTCTGAGTCCTTGAATGTCTGAATATGAGGTGTTTTTGCCTTCACTCTTGACTGATAGATTGGTTGGGTATAAAATTCCAGGTTCAAGGCCACTTATGCGTAGCACATAGAGAGGGAATATAGTGAAGAGGTTCAAGCCCAGTCTTTGGCATGAGACTGCCAGGGTCAAATTTTAAACTTTTACACAATTTATTGGATGCAACAAGTCACTTAATCTCTCTATGCCTCATTTTTCTCATCTATACACAGAGATAAAAATAGTACCTAACCCATGGATTTGTGCTGAATATTAAATGAGTTTATATATGTAAAATGTTTAAGACCATACTTTGCTCATAGTAAGCATCCTGTAAAGGTTGGCTATTATTCTTCTGTTCTCATTGTTGCAGACAAGGATTATGACATCAGTCTGATCCCTCTTCTCTGTCAGTTGAAGAAGTAGATGTTCTGGTTCTTTGTAAGTTGATGTTTTGATTTCTCTAGAAATGCTCAGAATCTTGTCTAATTTTTGATATTTTAAAATTGCCCAATTCTGTATGCTTGGGATTCTCTTAGCCCTTTCAATGTTAAGACCCAATGTCCCTTTTTGTCTCTAGGGATTTTAAAAATATATTATTATTTATGTGACAATTCTCTCTCCTCCATCTTCTTTTTTTTCTTGTTCTGGAACTCCTGCTGATAGTTGAATGTTGAACTCTCTCAAGAGATCTTTTTTGAATAAATTTTTCTCTCATATTTTATGTGATTTGCTTATGTTCTGAAAGATTTTCTTGACTTTGCATTCCAACATTTCTATTGATTTTTACAACTTTTGACAATAATACTTTCAATTTCCAGAAGATTTTTCTCATTCACTGATTACTCCTTTTCCATGACACCTTGCTTTGACTTTTGGAATTCCACTCACTCAGGTTTCCTATCAGCCTTATTGTGACCTCTAGAAATATCTCTGTGGAATTCTTGAGCATTTGAAAACATACTTTGAAAATCTCTTGCATATGCATTTGATCAATAAACTTTCTCTGAGCACTTGACCAGTGCAAGGTACTGAACTGGGTGCTGTGAACATTAGAAAGATGAATGAGCTATGGTCCCAGTCCTCAAGAGCCCAGTTGATGCAGAGACAAATATGGATATAAATAATGACTACATGACAGGTGCACAAGAGGTCCTCTTGGAGGAGGAAGTAACAAATAACCTGCTTGTGATCAAGGAAGAGAGGTGGCACTTAAATGCTTCTTAAGGGATGAGTAGATTTCCAGACAGAGAAGTGGAAGAGCATTCCTGGCAGAGGACACAGCCGGGCAAAGTCAAGGAGGATGAGAGAATGTGGGAGGGAGAGCACACCATCTAAGGCTGAGGTTGCAAGGTTGGCAGGAACCAGACCATGAAGGATCATGTGTGCCTACAAGGGGGCCTGGAATTGGTTCTCTGGGCAGTAGAAAGTCATCAGAGAGTCATTAGTAGAGGAGTGACATGGATGGGACAGTGTGTTAAAAGGGTCCCTCTGGAAGTCCTGGGAGTGGTGTATTGGACAGCCATCTCCTTTTCAACCAGAGCTCTCACAGAAATCTGCCTCCCACCCCTGCCCAACAATAGCTTCCTCATCACTGAGGAACACTATTCATCTATCCTGAATGAAAGTCTTCTGGGTGGCCCGTGGCAGGGTCTTAACCTCCACATGCAGACTGTGCTTTATTGTTATTGCTGCTGATAACAATTATAGTCCCTTATGGCCATAGGTCATTTTTAGATTATAGTGTTCTTACATCCATTACCTCACTTGACTTTTTCAGTGGTTCTTTGAGGAAGGCAAGAGAGATTACTATATAGGGGGGGAAACCCTCTGAGGTAGGTACTATAATTATCCCTGTTTTACAAGAAATGGAGGCACAGAGAGATAAAGAAACTTACCCAAGATCACAACACTAATTAGCAGGAGAGCTGAGATGTGAGCCCAGGAAGCCAGGCTAGAGTCTGTGAGCTGACCCACTGCACACACCACCCCTTGCTTAGTTCTTCTACTTCCTCCTTCACACCTAGAAAAGATCTGGGCACATAGTAGATCCTTATGGAAAACTCGCTGAACAAGGGGCTAGAGGCTGTAGAAAAATGTGAATTATGACTAAATGGGTACCTATTCATGCTAAGCACTTAACAGGCATTAACTCATTCTGTCCTGTTGCCAGTCAAGTTGGTCTTATTTTAAATCCATTTTATAAGAAAGATCCTGGGCCCTCTGAGTGGCGCGTTGGTTAAGAGTTGGCTTGGGACGCCAGCTGTGAGCATCAGGGCCCCGGTTCAGATCCCACATTAGGGCCAGTGATGCTGCGCCCTCTACAGATAAGATGGTGAACAACAGCTCAACCTGGAGCTGGGCTGCTGTGAGTTGTCGGCAACAGCGTAGGCTGCAGTGGGGCTGGCTGGCAGCTGGCGTGTGCTTTCGTGAGCTGCCGTGAGCCGCCGTGAGCAGCCATCCAATGGCCGGTGAGCAACTGCCTCACCTGGGTAGAGCACAATGATCACAATACCAACATGGGCCAGTGAAGCGACGTCCTCCACAACTAAACTGAAGAACAAAAGGACAGCATCTTGTCTGTTCCCCTTCCCCAATTCCCTCAATAAAATGTTTAAGAGGAAAGAAAGAAAGAAAGAAAGAAAGAAAGAAAGAAAGAAAGAAAGAAAGAAAGAAAGAAAGAAAGAAATATCTTATAGCAAAGAAGTGGCTAAAACCTGGACTCAGACTTGAGGCTGTCTGATATGTTGACTCCCAGGCCCTGATCCTCTCTGACTTCTCCAAATTTCCCCAGCGGGGTATGTCTACATGGGATGCCCAGCCTGTGCCTATGGCCTATTAGTACCTGGACCATTTCCTTCCACTGCCTTGGTCTTGGCTGCCCATATGGGCTTCACACTTCTCAGGGATCACTATCTCCTCCCCCTTCTTCCAGACCAGCCTCTAACAGTGTGGAATAGATTGAGAGTGGTGACTGCCCACAGTGAACCCACAGAAGAGCCTTGCTGACCTGATTTGAGAAACCCTTCCCACTCAGTCCACCAAATGGGCTTCCAAGCAGACCTGAGGCCCAGCAGCCAGCAGGCTGTCCTGGAAGTACCCCTGAACTCCTTGTGGCCCTTCATGGAGCCAAGGTAGGCAGGCCTCCCCAGCCCTGGGTGTGGGGCAGAAACTCATTCTATGTGTGGCATGTAATGCTGTGCATATGACCTAAGGTACACCTGGGTGACACGGGCCAAAGTATCTTTGGAGAAGTCAGTACATGCTAAGACACTCCCCTGATGCTCAGAGGGGCTGGGCCAAGAGTTTGTCTTTTAGAGGGGACCCCTCTTAGCTCGGGGTACAAATAGGTATGGGGAAACTGGCAGAGGGAAGGAAAGCTGAGCCTCAAAGGTCGGTCCATTCCTCCCTCCTCTCTTGTTCTTTCTTTTAAGTAAAAATCCAGGGGATTTCCTTTATCTCCAATATCCAAATCATGGCTCCACCACAGTCCAACTTTGTGACCTTGGACAAACCTCTCTGTACCTCAATTTTCTCATCTGTAAAGTGAGGACAATTACAGCACCTGTTTCCACAGCTGTAAGGACGGTATGCCTAATAGACGGCAAGGGCTTTTAACATTACTGGTGCTAGTTCTTATTGGACTTACCTGTATCTATTAAAATCTCACTCATTCTTTAGAGTTAAATGAAAATCATTCGAAAATGCCCCCTTTTATACGACCCCAGCCCACAATTTACTCCATTGGCAAAAGCTCTGAGGGTAGATGGGTTACAGTATAGTGGGTTAGAGTATAGACTCGGGTGTGCTGGAGACAACCTATATAGGCTCATGAGCTGGTTGTTAAACTTTCAGGAAGTTTATGAGTTGATTGTCAAACAATTATGTTTTTAAAATTCACACATAAATTTAGAATTGAATGAATTCTATCATTTACATTGCTATCTATTATATCCTACATAACAAAGCCAATAAATTCTAAAAACTCATCATTTCCTGTTGTCTTATTACAATTTATGACAATCTATGCTCTTGAGGTTGCTCACATCTATTGTATCTGTGCATAGAAATGTTGTGTACCGGTGTGCTAGTTCACACCTCCTCCTTCAGTACCTCCTATTGGTGGCTTGAAATCTGTCGTGGTGGAAATAGTTACACAATAAAAACCCCACCAGGGTTTGCCTATTGTTTTGGTGATTGTTTAGACTTAAGAAAATGGTGGTGAAAATATTAATAATGTAGGTTAAATTTTAAAATGTTTTGTGCCTGCAACCATTACATTGTGAATAGCACACACACACAAAATCTTAGACATATTCTTCCAGTATTCAAAAATTATTACTCAGTTCAGGAAAAGAGTTGTTCATGTCATTGCTGAACAAATTAAATTCAACAAATATCTTCATTGGTTCGCTTTCATCTAACTTGTTAATGTAAATGAGAATATAAACTAACATTCACGCAGGAATTACACTCATTTGTCAATTGTAACAATTTGGCTATTCATACAAGAGTTTAGGATATATCAACGAAAACATTCTGTGAGAATCAATTGACTAGATGGAATTTATAATAAGGAGTATTGTATATTTTATTATTATTTATAAATCATATGCTATGACTTTTTATAACAATCAAATTCATAATAAATGTATTCATAATAAAATTTATGTATGTAGATTTTATGTATGTATGTATTTGTTTCTAGAGAGCCAGTTGTTAATCACTTACCAGCAAGACACTGAACATAGAAAGTGGTGAGGCCCTGGAATCTGGCAGACCTGGACTGGTATTCTAGCACATCTATTTATAAGCTGTGGGACCTTAGATGAGTTACTTAACCTCTCATCAATAAAATGGAGCTAAGAAT